GGATAGTGTGGGGAAGTCACCAAGCGTCAAGCTCGGGATGGCAAAATGCGGGGAACGGGGTCCATGATTGGGATAATTTAGAGGGATAGGAGGGACTAGTTCACTATTCAGGCTATCTTTCCCTGGGGACTAAGCCAGATTGAAGAGTGTCTACGTATTTCGCAGAGAGGCGAGGATGAGGCTGGCCACTCTGCTGCTCGGACTGCGCCATAAAGTTGGCTCCAGCCCTGGATGGCGCCATGACTAAGCGGCAGAGGAAGTGCAGGGTTTCTTTTCTCAGATGTGGATCATTCAGGATGTGCAAGAATGCAACCCGAATACTACCGGCGATCTACCAGCTAGTATAGGCAGATGAGTTTTACGAGCACGCGTCTCCCGGTCAGCCAGATGGGCAAGTGAAAGGGATGGTCCCTCGCGATGACCAGTGAGGTGGCTTATCAATTGCCTTGGGACCCTTACAGCGTGCTCGGGATGTGGAGGACCCTAACCGAGGCCCCTTTCCTGGGTCTCCATCCTGGATGATCCATCTCCTCCAGCTACCAACAGGGAACAGGCCCAGACTAGTAGTCCAGATCCTATTACTCACCAGTCCGTTGTTAGGAGTACCATCACTCCCCCCCCACAAGAGCGATGAAAGCCGAAGCCGGATGGCACAAAATGGGTATGTCCGCAAAACCCCGACCGGACCCCAGCTGGCAGCCAGAGTCCGGCAGCTATGACCTATAGCAAGATCCACTCACGCCGCTAGCTAGGCCTCACCCCGGTCCACTTGTTCTCCCATGGCTCTCCGATGATGATATACGAAACGACCGAATGCTCCAACTACTGGCGTAAATGTGGTGACGAAGCACGAGCACACAATGTGAGAGGAATCGTGATGCTGGTGCGTCTACCATTCCCTATCATCATAAACACGCGGATCCACCCGTCACTCTACACTACCCAGATTGGGGGGAAAAGACATCCACCCCCACGGACACTAAGTTAACTAACACCCAATGATGACCAAACCAGAGCTCCCACTGGGCAACACTAGGAGACGGCATCGAAGTGGCCACGAACCCCGCTCCCCAGATCAGCCCCATAGGTATCGTCCCGAGCAACGACTACAAGACCTACCACATGACATCTGACTTGGCCACCGCACAACGATGCATCGACCTCCTCCAAGCAGAGGGCTTCAATGTATCCGGCAACCCCAACTACAACTGGATAGTAGACGTGTTCACCATTATCCAAAAGATGTTCCCAGAGGGAAATCCCCCTCCGGTAACAGTGGTATCCAGTAACGCGCGATACGATCCGCACTTCCATCTGAAAATAGGAAAGACACTGCGCCAACTCCGAAAGGAGAACTACCTCCTCATTGGAACAGGAGGATCAGTCCATAATCTCTACCGCAATCGATGGGGACCCATGGTCAAACATCGCGATTCCCTAGCCCAGGAGATCCCCCCGGAGGAATGGGCACTGGAGTTCAAGCAATCCCTGGAGGATGTGATGACGAAGACTTCCGGATTGCAGCTGCAGCGGGCGGTTACTAGGCTCATGAAGCATCCACAATTCCGCGACGCGCACGGTACAGACGATCATTTCGTGCCGGCGGCTTTTGTGGCGGGAGCGGCGGGGGATGCAGAGGATGAGGGTTGTCACGGGGTCTTGGGCGCGGAGACTTGGGAGTTGTGTAATATGGCGAATTTGCAGTTTACGTTTGGGAGGTGGCCAGAACAAAAGCTCGAGGCTGCTTGACTCTTAGCTGAATGATAGCATGATAGATGTATTAAGATGAGCTTGTGATTAGACTCTTGGTCATCGAAGCTTTGTACAGACTGAGTGAGGATCCTGTTCATTTTTGACCAACCAATTGTCTTGGTCTACCTCACTGCGAAACTATTGTAAGACGAGATGAAATTATCGTACTCGCCAATATTCCCGGATACCATCTCCTTCCACACAGTATTCACACATAATGACCCCAAGTCTCATATCGCACGAATACAAACTTTGACCCAAGATCACAACAACATAACTCACATGCATACCAATTTACTCCATTTGAAAACACCACTCATAACCCTCTCCACCTCCTCACAGCCGCATATCCATAAATCCCCATCGTCGAGACACTCGCCACAAATGTAAACAGCGTAATCACCCCACCAGTAATAATCCCCTGCTCAAAGAACCCAATTTCCTTGCCACTGCGCTGCCCGATAGCGGGCAGTGGTACCAACGCCTCGCGCAATGCGTCGTTGGACTTGGATGCGTAGCTGCTCACTATGTCTCGAACCAGAGTGGTGTTGCTGGTCTCCGTTACGAACTGGGGTCGGGGGACCTGCAGGGATGGTACTGAGTAGCGAGTTTCGCGCGAGGGTTTTTGGTTGATGGGGTATGCGGGGCCGACTGTTCCTGTTAGTAATTCCTGTAGAGGGCTGGGAAGGGAGTGGGAAGCTTACTGAGCATGTCGACGGGAACGTGGTTGATATAAGAGGTGTAGGAGTCGATGAATTGAGTTAGGTATTTGGCTGCCGCGGGGGCGGAGAAGGCGTATGTTGCTGCTAGGGTGCCCATGCTACATTTCTGTTGGCATATCTCCATAAGGAGGGGAGGGAGGGTTTCAGGGCAACTGGGAGACATACGATGTGCTGAAATCAATAGCATCGTCTAGGCTAGTCACCGGATGCAGGACGAGCACCTTCTCGGATACCTTCTTTTGCAGAAGAGATGTTTTTCTAAACTGTCAGCATGCTACTTCAATGGATGGGGGTATAGAGCTTACCGGTCGTGCACTTCAACTACACCCCATTCGGAACCAGATACTATCACCCGTGCGCTGGCGTCTTTGTACGCCGCATCGAGCAACGAAGCGCCCGAACTCGATCGTCGCGGATTGACGGCCGTCTGACGAGCGTCTCCATTTTGACCAGCTAGATACTTTGACGATCGCTGGATAATGGCTTCCACGAACTCCTTCATGGCGAACTCCTGTACGAGTACAACGTCAGGAGAGTAAGTGGAGCGACCGCCAAAAGCGAATCGCGCGGACACCAGCGCATCCGCTGCAGCGGAGATGTTGGCTGTGCGGTCGACGATGGCGACAGTTCTGGCTGATGTGGGTGAAGAAAGGCTATTGGAAGTAGGAGAAATAGAGTCGCTTTGTGCAATGATGTGCGTTTTGTTAAGAAATGCAGCGTCTGGTCTCTCCTCGCTGATAGCGAATGTATCCGCGTCCAGGGTCTGAGGCAGGATCTTCTTGAGCACACCCGGTACGGCCATTGTGGTTTTCGTCAACTATTAAAACGAGAATCAGCATTGAGCCATAGTACTTGACCGTGTTGAACCCACCTCAAGAATTACACAGTTCCCGGCCGCAATGGCAGCACTCAGCGCCGCGACAACAGAGAAAAACATAGTATGCGAAGAAGGAACAATATAGACAATCCCGACTCCACGCTTCCCATCATAATTATCCTTGCCATTGGCAACACGATACTCCTCTTCCAGGTCTTTCTTCAAGTCCAGCGAAGCATAGTGTGTGCGAATCTCTTTGAAGGCAAGGCAGATCTCGGCGCGAACCTCCTCCGACGAATTCCCCGAATCGGCAGCGATCGCATCTTTAATCTGCTCGATATTTTGTACAAGACTGGACTGTAGACGATGAAATTGATTCTGACGGTATCTGATATTCAGACAGCGACCGTCTATCTCAGCAGCGACAATGCGCTGGAAAGGCTGTGTTGCGACCATTGTGCGTTGGTAGTAAGCGTGCTTGGTGGCACTGTGTTACACCCAGGTCCGGAACCTAGATGGATATAGTAGCAGGGGCTAAGCCGACAATCACGTCACACCGTCAAACACGCGATGTGGACACAGCTTATTCCTCGGCAGTATCGCCCCAGCTAGTGATCCGATCATGCGGACAGTGGAAGAGTGTGCGGGGGAAATATGGGGGAAAAGATGGAGGGAGGGTTGGGTTGAGTCTGAGCGTTCGGGATGTGGAGGAAGCAAGGGATGGATGGGATGAACAGCACATCGCTTTTGTTATGCAGGTTAGTCTCGGTGCACTCTCCACCGCTAGTCAAGAGGAACATCATCTGTTCTAATTGCTGTTGTTGTCTGCTAGAGTGCTTGTTACACCCTCAAGATATTATTTTCATCATGTCGTCTACAACTACAACAACTGCTACAACTACATCTAGGGCTGTTGACGCCAGCACGCTTTCCATCCTTTCCGACTACGAAATCCACCACACCGGCTCAGAGACCCAACCTCAACCCCGGGTTCCTCGTGATGCTGTCCCTGTAACTCAGCCTGTGGACTGGCCTTCGCACTATAGACGTATCCCTTCATATCGACCTCTGAATCGGAACTTGAGCTACGAAGAGCGATCGGCTGGGACGGGTCCCGTGGAGTATATGTTTATCCAAACCATGTTGCATGGGGTGTGGTTGAATGCGGTGATTATCTATGCTAAATCTTCAAATTGGATAATTCTGATATATGTGCAGACTGTTGCGCGTCTCTGGCGCTTTACTGGGGGAAGGATCAACGATAAGATCTTCCATTATGAAGTTGGAGGAGAGTGGTGATTTAGTATAGTTTATATCTGATCTAAATTCAGTTTTGCGTTCTATTAACATATACCAAAAAATATATTGTACTACCTATACGTTATATCAATAGCTTATATGCTACGAATATCAAGTTACAAAGCAACTACCTTCTACCCCTTATAGCAAATGTACCACGTGAACAGTAACAATATAGTACCAGATCAGCATTTGATTTACGATAATAGGTCAATAACCAGCATCCTATCAGAAACATCGCGCTCACAGATCTCTAAATGTATTTAAATTCTCAAACCTCTTATGTATCTGCATGACAGCTATAGACATCCCTTCCATTCCATCTAGAACTTACACCCTATATCAACCTCACCCCCTATCCCCTCTCATCCCAATCCCACCTCACCGCCTCCCCCGCAAATAAATCAGCTTTAAGTACTATCCCTAACCTGAATCCCGCCCAAATCCTCCTTCAATCCCTCTCCCAACCCCTTCGCAGGCAACAACACATACAACATCCTCGCCCAGCTCCCTTCCCCATTCTCCCCATCAGGAGTAACATTCCTCCAAGCATGATTCGTACCCCTCTGGACCGCCACATCCCCCCTCTTCAACAACCTCGTCTCCCCCGAGTCCAAGACCAACTCAACCTCCCCCTCCAACACAACCCCATAATCCACCGACACAGTGCGATGCATCGGACTCAGCGCATGCGGCGGCATATCCACAATGCGACACACCGAGCCCGTGGAGATGGTGATTCCGGGGGGGTTGGTCAGGTAGGAGGCGTAGGCGGGGATGTCGGCCTCGTCGGTGAGGTTAGCGGGGAAGGAGTCGGTGGTGTAGACGAGGGAGAATTGCGCATTGGCGGAGTCTTGAATTTGTTGCACCGGCATGGTCTCTGAGAGGGTAGTGGAGAAGATGGCCTTTTTGGTGGTGGGGTCGTGGGTTGTTATGTAGCGGGAGAGGGGGCGGATGTTTTTGGTGTTGGTCATTTTGGTGGTGTTGGTTTGGGGGTAATTGGGTGGTGGTTGTTGGTGGTGTAGAAGATTGATTGAGATAATGAAGTAGTAGAGTATTCTGTTTGGTGGTTTGGGGTTGGTATACTGCTTTGGATGGGATGCTGTTTGCTATATAATGCTGTGTCTATACTAGTAGTATACGGACGAGGATGCATCGGGACCACATCCCGATGGAGTTCAGAAGGTGGTTCAATCGGTTGTTCGGCTCTCGCATTACAGAATGAAGTTCGATTTCTAATTATCTCATCTAAGTTATGATCTACTTCCTGCGGAGTTCCTCCAGCCAGCCCCGCGGGGGAATAATCGGCAAAGTGACATAGTTGTCTCCATGGCCAAAGTTGATATGGTTGAGCCCGTGGAATCGCTCCGGGGATCTGTCTCTGTCAGCAACGTAGTCGTTAGTACAACCTGGGAGCAACTTACCGGTCTACAGGAGAATTGTGCTGGAATATTCCACTTCCTTGGGTATCGCCAGATGCGACCTCGAGGATGATCTTTCCTCCCTTCTCGACCACTACGTTGGTCGGCCACACCTCCACATCGACCGGGTAGACCTCGCCCGGGATGACCGGGAGCACGTCCGTGGAGTAAAAATTGCGATGGGGCAGCCAGGGACGGTGGCGAGGATGCTCAGGGTCTGTCTTGCGCAGACTGACACGCTGCCAGCCCTTGCAGAGAGGCACTGGGTCTCCAGCCGTGCCGGTATAGAAGACCTCCTTACCCTCGGGAGAGATGTACCGCAATGTGACGAAAAGGTCGATATCTTGCGGAGTGGGAGAGCCTGGCTGGGGACTCATCGACACATTGAGATGGGCGACAATGTGTCCAGTAATTTCTGTTTCGCTCTCGAATGGCGGAGTGGTGAATTGCACCAGCTGCGGGTTCTCCAAACTTCCGAGAGCAGGGTAAGTGATTTTGACCGGGCGCTCTTTCGGAGCTGTGGTTACCAGCTCTTGCTTGGAGGTCAGATAGTATCGCGTGTATTGCGTACGCGCGATGGGCCATTCATTCTCAGTACGGCGAGGGAATTGCTTTTCCGCTTCAGCATTGTTGAATCCGACGTCTCCTTTGCGGAGAACCAGATCAACCTTCGGGGCTGTTCCAGTGGACCATCCCTCGCGATCCTCGCCCTTGAGGAAGGCGTCTAAGAAGCTGCGCTGGACTTCCACTTCTTCCGAATAGTAGAAAGGCAGGTCATGGCGACCGGTGATGAAGCGCAGATACTTCAACTCGCTGCCTGCTTGGGTCCAGCCCTCCACATTACCCCGCAAGTGCAGCAGAATGCCACCCCAGTTGGCCACGGACAGAAGAGGCACCTGAATGTCGGACATAGTGTACTCCTTACTAGCATAGTATATATCATCGCGGAATCGGTTGTTGACGTTGTCGATTGTCTGGTCCTGACGGTTCGCTTCCAATTCCTCCTCGGGAAGATCACCCTCGATGGTATCAGGACCCCAGTTACGGGCGGCACGACCAGGCCGACCGTACTGGTTAGAGACGACCTGGCGGTCCCACCAGAATTTGATAAAGGAGTTCGAAAGGATGCCTCCGTGGCGACAGCGATCACGGTAGTAGTCGGACATGCCCTCCCACGGGATAATACACGACAGGCCCTTGGGTTGCCGGGCACTGACTCTCCATTGACTTCCAGCATAGTAACTAATTCCGAGCAGTCCTACTTTACCAGTAGACCATGGCTGTTCGGCTGCCCATTCGACCACATCAAAGAAAGCCTCGCTTGTTTCACGGGACATGGTGTCAAGCTTTCCGCGGGATTGGCCAGTGCCTCGCTCATCCGCCCGAACAACAGCATAGCCATGCTTAGTCCAGAAGGCAGGGTCGGGGGTTTCCCAGGCTGAATGAGCAGAGTGATGCTCAGGGTTGACTTCGCTGTATGACTTCGGATGGAAGTCCGAGTATGGAATATCTTTGCCGTAGGGGCCGTAAGTGACTAGCACTGGGGCTTTTTCCAACTCCTTGGGTCGGTAGACGTTGCATCGGACAAGACCCGATTTATCCTTCAAAGCAATGGTGACATTCTGCTCGAAGATGTAAGGGAAGGATGTATCATCCCGGGTAGTGATGTCTTCGCGGATGGGATTCGGCATGATGGTGATACTGTACCTCACCAGAAAACAATAGAGGGTCAATAGTGAGGAAGTAAAAACGGTGTACAACAAATGAACCCAAAATCGGTGTGATAAATAGGCCGTGGTTATCTACCCCTCACGGTGTTTTGCGCCATTTCAACGGTTCCCTTACATCCGCCCCGAACGTGGAGCCGAAGTGGTTGAGCCGAGGATTGAGATCACGACTCCAGACCCCAAAATCCGTCCGGCATTAACGGTGGGCACACATGACTCATCCTGGCAATTTGTGGGGGTGAAAGAAATCATGAGGTTGTCTTGAAAGATATAATTGTGTAGTATGTCATGGCAACACTCCGCTCTTTAGGTGGCAGATTAACCAGTGTGTCCCCAGTCTGCAACCTTTAGCCAAACGTGATACACTGCCCTATCTGCAACAATGGGGAGCATTGACCCACGCACAGCCCAAGGAGGCCTTCACATTCTTATTGCCGGCGCTGGTATTGGAGGCCTGGCCACTGCCATCGCTCTCAGGCAACAAGGTCACCGAGTTGAGGTCAGTTACTCTTGCATCCGAACTTCAGGGTGTAGACAATAAGTTTAGACTAAAACTTGGACGCAGTTGTTTGAACGCTCCCGCTTTGCAAACGAAATCGGGGCAGCGATTCATCTTACGCCCAATGCAAACTCTGCGTTGCTTAGATTGGGGATCGACGGCACCAAGTTTGGGGCTGTAGAAACTGAGCAGGTACCCGCTGCCATGCTTGCTCGCTAACCGAAAGATCATCTCTGACCTTGCCAGTTACGCATATACACTCCTGGTGGAGAGCCTCTAGGTATAGTCGACAACAAAGCGCATGCAGACAAATGGAGACATGTAAGTAAACTTCTCCCTGCTTGGCATTCAACCGTCATAACGCTTGATAGAAATGGACACTTGTTCACCGAGCCCATCTGCACGAAGCTCTGAAAGTTGCCTCTCAGGCTCCTGGGCCCGGCATACCAGCTCAGCTGCACACTTCGAGCAAGATTGTAGACATTGACCCAAAGAATGCCACGGTGACTCTTGAAAACGGGGGAGCTTTCAAGGGTGATGTCGTTATCGGAGCAGACGGTGTCCACTCTCTTGCGAGATCGAAATTGCCTTTCGCGAAGGACACTAAACCTTTCAGCTCTGGCAAGAACGCGTTCCGCTTCCTTATAAAGCGCCGAGATGCTCTGGAAGATCCCGAGACCCGTTCACTTGCTGAGGCATACGGTTCAGTGGACATGTGGGATTCTGATGAAAAGCGTGTGGTCATATACCCTTGTGCCAACAATGAGTTGCTGAACTTTGTTTGCATCCACCCCGACACAATGAGCACCATCAACACATCCTCTGACTGGAACCAAGAAGCTAGCAAGGAGGCGCTTCTTGAAGTTTTCAAGGATTTCAATCCCCAAGTTCTCAAGATGCTAGCCAAGGCTGATCCTTACACCTTAAGGGTGTGGCCTTTGTTGGACATGGAAACTCTTCCCACTTGGGTTGATGACCGGCTTGCAATCATCGGAGATGCAGCGCATCCGTTCTTGCCATATCGTGCATCTGGAGGAGCGATGGCCATTGAGGATGGTGTTTCCCTGGCTGTCATGCTGTCCCGGGAGGTGACCCGCGAGGAGATACCAGAACGGCTGAAGCTGTATGAGAAGGCTCGTCACAATCGAGCCAGCACTGTGCAGCAGATGACACGAGAGTCTTCTAAGCCGCAATCAATGGAGACGAGTCAGTATCAGCACATGAGCTTATCTTACATAGCTAACATTCCACAGTGGAAGCAATGACTGACTATATCTACGGCCATGACGAATTCGACCACTCCACCCAAGTCTTGCGAAAGCACCTCTGGGGCAAACTCCCGGCCAAATACTGGCGACAGCCCATTGTCTTCGGCCCCATGCCCGGCCCCAGACAAGACTGGTGGGGCAGGAACCGCGTCCAGAAGTCGCTCAAGTCAACATTCCAGACGGCGTCAATCCGATTCAAAACCAGTCGGACGCTGCTGCAAAACCTACTTCCCAATGAGAGGTATTCCTTCACTGACCCAAGCACTGTGGCCTATGCCAGCTTCTCGCAGACGAGGCTTCACGGTATGGACTGGCTCGGCGGCGGCGGCTACCGTCACCTAGGTCTTTACATCGAGGGCGTGCAGTATAAGAAAAAAGACGGCGAATTGGTCAAAGGCCTGTACCTGCCCATTCTTTTCGAAAGCCTGACTGATCCGATCGTGAGTGGTCGCGAAGAGCTCGGCATGCCCAAGCTGTACACTGCCATTGAGGCACACGAGCGAACCAATTCCTACCACCTCACGACCAGCTGGGAAGGCGCTGTATGGGGCCACTTCCACTTAGAAGACCTTGAAGACCAAGATTTCAGCATGAACCCTCCTCAAAACATTGGTAAGGGTGACTTGATCTATCGCTACATGCCGCAAGTTGGACGCGCGAACAAGGGACAGCCTGAGGCTGAATATCCCGTGCTTGTGCCACAAGAGGAGGAGCAGAAGAACATTCCATCGAGAATCACTCGGCTCCGGACGACCAAGAACGCCCGTTTTGAGATTGATGCACTCAGCTGGGAAGCTTTGCCGACGCTGCATCATGTCATTTCACGGCTGGCTGAGATTCCCGTGGATGAGATTGTTTCGGCCAAGGTGGTTGAAGGCGAGGGGGTAGCAGATGTGTCATGCGCAAGACGTATCGAGTAAGAACTGGGCCGCGTTAGAAGGAAAGTACGGCTGGTCGGATCCATCATTGTCAGCATTGCTGTACCTGTATGTTTTGATAGCAGATCCAGATTAGATCAATCTACCTGTTTTGAACGATGTGACCTAGCTAGGGATCATGTGATACCAGTTCTGTGTCCTATACCGTGAACTACGACTACAAGTACAAGCTAGCGTTCAACTGCTGCGATCACTCTCGAGCTTCACAATTTATGGACCAGGTTCAACTAGTATAAACTTATATAACTTGAGTACATATGTTTCTATGTCTCGTTTAGTGTCCAAGAACACTCCGCGTTATCTCTCGTTCTTGTTATGGACCTTAATTTAATCTACCAACCCTCCATTCGTCTTTTTCACCATCGTAAACGGTGTCCCCACTCTTTTCAACAACTTAGCCTCTCTAGGCTTTATAAACAGTGGCTCCGTTGCAGCGAAGTAATCACGATAATACGGCTTCACCAATTGGACCTTAATTCAGCACCAGTCAGTTCAGCTCCTAGTCGCAAAGGCTGGAAAACAAAGTTGACACTCACCCCCATAAGCCATTCCTTTGACGCAGACCTGTATGCAGATGGGAGTTTAGCATCAAATTACGAGCAAGCCAACAACCAGAAACCAGGAATGAAACAGGACAGACCAATTCTCTACCCAAGAGATAGTTCCCGGGGAATCAAGCGACTGGTATAATTCGAAGAAAGTACATTCGGGCTCAGCAGTGACAGCCTTGTAGGCGGGTTCGAAAGCGGCCCAGAACTTCGGCACGTCCTCGGGTTTAAGATGGACTGTTACTTGCAGGGAGATGGATTCAGATGAGTCGGACATGGCGAAGTTATCTGGTTTATCGCCAGCTTCTTCCGAAGGCAGGAAGCTATGGATGATTGGTGGGCTGATTTGGAGATGTGATGATGGCAATTGATAGCAGAACAAGTTCTTTGTAGACAGTTGAGGAGGGGTGGTGGCGGGTTTATCGGAGGTTAGTTAGCATCTACCATAAGCGGCTAACTGTAAGCACTAACCACTTAGCACTGAATTGACAGGGGTTGATACTTGGTGCTTCTCAGTGGCTATCTTTGATAAGCCGTGTCGAGGCTGAACAGCCCTGCCGTACTGTGACCGGACATTGGTGACCTCAGTGCAAAACTGATGAGATTAGATGGATTCTATGAAGCTTCTTTGGTACCCTTGAGAACTTCAGTATCGGGCCATTTCTGAAAGAGGCAGCGCCTGTCAGTTGAATGGTGCACGTGAGCTCAAATGAAGCCAGAATACTAACGAGGATATTGTTGACTGTATATAACAGAAAGTGCCATCACTGTCGGACACAACAATATCTTCAGTCATAGGCAAGAGCTAGCCATGGCGAGGATATATTACATTAACCTAGATATATGGTTATGATAGCATAAACAAATAAGGCTTCAATATCACCTCGTCTGAAGGTTCGTGATGACAAAGTGTCCAACTGGATCAGCTCATGCTAATCGGATACTACTTTCCTGGACACTATATTTCGTCCGCGAAGGATACTGTGTATGCCTAATCAGTCTAAGTATCAGTGGGTCTCGATCGACAGAAATATTACTTTTGGCATCGATCGTCCGACAGTCTCTGTATCATGTTTAGCTAGCTCCATATCCCTCATAGAATTCAGGATGAGGTGAGCGATGTTGATGAAAAGCTCGTAATAGGGACCAGATGATGACAGTACTAGTACTAATAGACTTTTCTCATATATTATCGATTTTGTGTGTTGATATATCCCAGGGTCACCACGCATATACGTATACATCCCTACTTACCTAACTAGTAGTTAGCATACGAGCTGATTTACGCACTGGACCATATGAGACTAGTACCGTCGTAGCTATGTAACACACTATATTCAGCATGTATGAAACCAAGCTCAGTTGCCCATGATCTGAAACTTCATGCCCCATGTCCTAGATCTCAGAAGCAAGCACGGTCAAGTAACTGTACTTAGCAGCTTGACAACACCCATACTCACGTCAGAAAAGTGCATCAGCCAATTAGCATGAACCAAGTATCTATTCGACTCAGGCAGAACTGTGCACTACCACTGTGGCGCTGTCCGCTATGCTAAGCACTAAATTGCACAAGTTGTAGTCTTGATGGATGAAAGGCCCGGCCGTCTCACTAGCAAAATAGTGGACCACTTAGTCTATGGATCATCCGGAACGATACGTATGTCCCGGTCATGACTATACCTCTTGGCAAGGTGTTGTAAATTGTGTTGGTGGCACCTATGTCCTCGCAACAAAGCCGCTCGATTGAAGCACAGTATGCGATATACGCATGAACTGCATAGAAACCAAAGTGAGTGGTTCGAGCACTGAGGCGTCTCTGCAATAGTTCGCAGGCGTGCAGACCTTGTCTGCCTGATGTCACCGGGGTCGCAAGGATGAGTTCATGGGCCTAATCCCGGAATGACTTCGAGCCTTGGGGCCACTAGTCTCGTGTTATCCCCAGCAGTAAGCAGCGAGGTGGCAACCACGGGCATGGATTATTTTCGAGCTAAGAGTGGTAGTAGGAGCGGGCACCTAGATGACTGGACAATGAATAGCTAGCGAGCACCGTGGGGTCATTATGTCTCGAGCTAGAGAAGCGCGGATATATTCGGGAATGGAAGAATCCTTTTGTGTGATGAGTGTTCCATGACTGTTGGAGGATGTCCGGTGGCTGCACCTCGTGGCATCAGGCCGCAATGGGAAGCAGGTATGGCATCTGGGGGAAGAATGTGGGCATGCACACAGGACATGCATGTGGTGTTCTTATCGTAGTGCTATGAGTGGTAAGAGACGCTGCTCAAGAGTTCAGTGTCCTGAGTGGTTTCGTGGAGCAAATATCATCGAACTGCGGGGATGCTGCTGCTCAACAGATTGGAGGGTTGGTGAGACCACCCGAGTTGTGGATTGACGGATCTTTGCTGGATGGATGGTCGGGGGCCCAGAAAGGCCTAGAACGCGACCGTAGCTTGGAAGCATTTGAAGGAAGAAGAGCTTTACCTGTACGATGGTTGTCTTTGAGATAATGTGCTGTGCTTGAAAGTGGAAGAGAGGAGGGAGAAACCCGACATAGCACGGCCAACATGCGAATCCCCTTTACCATGGAACCCAGTAAAGGGGAAGAAAGCAGGTTGGATGGCGACAGGAAGTTTACTATTGTATTGAGTGTCGCGGCGGATGACGCATGACTGGCTGCCTACCGAATCAGGCGGCCCGCTGTGAGGTGCTCCGCCCGCTGCTGCACTTCACCAGGAACCGTAACCTCACCTCCTCCCGCCTTTGCTCGTCCTACACTTGCATCTCTTTCTCCTACTACTACTCCGTTGCCTTCTGGCTTCCTCCATCTCCAGGATACCCTGTCGTCTCGCTTCGACCGTCTCCTGTCTCGTCTGGAGCCCGGTCCTCTCACCTTTCTTTCCCCTCTCTGCGCCACTTCCCCCCTCCTCCCTCGCCCGCTCGCGTCGATCGCTTTGCTGGTGTGACTGTATTTATATTTCGTCCCGTCGGCCACCTAAGGCTGTCCGAACAGAAACCCTGATCTACTGGCTGTCAATAGACTCGATAGAGAACTTGCTCCAGAGCTGGCCAGGGCTTGCATTTTCTGGTTTCCCGACCTGATTTGACCCTCTCCGAGTCTGGGAGAGCTTCCCCGCACTAGAGCTGCACAGCATCATGTATGTCGTGGAGAAACACATCACTAGGAATAATGAGAGACCAAGTGAATATGTAGCTAACCGAAGACTCTCACAATATCCAGGCGCATTACCGTGAGCGTGATTCGTCCGGATCAGGCCGACGCCGACATCTTCTCCCTAGAAGTCGGTGGGGACATGACCGTCGAGCTCCTCAAAGCCATCGTTGAAAGCGAAACCTCCATCCCTCCCCCCTCCCAACGTATTCTCTACAACAATCAACTACTTGCCGATGATGCTCGCACCCTCGAACAGGTTGGCATTGGTGAGGGCGACATGATAGGTGTTCAGGTTACGCTGCGGAGACCCCAGGCCCCCCCACGGAGTATTGGGGGCCCCAGCTCTGCGGCTGCCCAACAAAACCTGCAGCGAAGACAGGCAATGACTCCAGATCCCGAGACGATTCGTCTACATATTCTCGGTAATCCGCAAGTGCGCGAGGCTGTTCGACGGCAGAATCCGGAACTGGCGGAGGTGGCCAACGATGCACAGCGCTTCCGTGATGTCCTTCAACGACAACAACAGCGCGAGGCTCAGGCCGCAGCAGAGAAGGAGGCTCGAATTGCCATGCTGAATGCTGATCCGTTCAACCCCGAGAATCAACGCGAGATCGAGGAGATTATCCGTCAAAACGCGGTAACGGAAAACCTCCACAATGCCATGGAACACCACCCAGAGTGTAAGTGGGCGAAACGTTTTCCGTGTCGACCTTATTGCTAACATGAAAGCACAGCATTTGGTCGCGTAACCATGCTGTATATCCCTGTCGAGGTCAATGGCCATAGACTCAACGCATTCGTCGATTCCGGCGCACAGGTCACCATTATGTCACCCGAATGTGCGACCGCGTGCAACATCATGCGACTCGTCGACCAGCGATATGGGGGAATCGCAAAGGGCGTTGGTACGGCTAACATTATCGGTCGGGTGCATTCAGCACAAATCAAGATTGGAAGCATGTTTCTTCCATGCTCCTTCACAGTTATGGAGGGAAAGCACATTGATCTACTCCTAGGCTTGGACATGTTGAGGAGACACCAAGCCTGCATTGACCTCAAACGAGGTGCACTCATCATTCAAGACCAAGCGGTCCCGTTCTTGGGAGAGGCAGACATTCCCAAGCACCTCCAGGAGGAATTCGAGGATGAGCCCATGATCAAGGGAGCCGATGGCGCCGAAGTCGGCGCCCGGACAGGTGCGGTCACGCATCAGGCCAGCCGCAGCCAAGCAGCTGGTGGCCCCAACATGGCCTCTGCGGCATCCTCTTCCCGCCCAGCCCCGCCGCAGTCACGCTGGCCGGCGGACTCCATCGCGAAGATCACCGAACTAGGCTTTACGCGAGAAGAAGCCATGCGAGCTTTAGACGCAGCCAACGGAGACCTAGATGGAGCCATTGGATTTCTGATATGACGCAGGTGATGTCACCGCTTTGGAATCCTTCAACTTTTGGCAAACTTGGTACCGGGTGAGCAGTCCCGGGAACTTTCGTACCGCTGTAATATGATCTATCATCAACAACAGCGAGACCTGTGCGCAAATTGTGCGATGGCGCTCTATTCCCTAACCCATGTCTCTATTTCACTTCCCTTGTAACAATGAAGCCTACGGACGTAACTATTATTGCATTCTGGTGATCCTACACACTCCCATGGTCCCCGCACGGAACTCTATACCTAGCAAGCAAGATAGAGACACCATCAACAGCCACCCAAATCTCATTAAGGATATTTTGGAGGCCATCATTCCATACTATCAGCCAGCCCTGTGGCAAACAATCACAATCCCTGCTTTGCCCCCCCAAATCCGCAAGCCTCATCTTCTCACATCGGGCTTCATCCCGACCTATATCATGCAGCTGCAGGATTAAGAGCGATCGGGTCGGTGTAGCGGGTCCTGCTGCCACATTTACACTTTTCACACAGTAAGTACTAATTAGTGGGAATGCATTCCTACCTGTACAATGTACAGAGCACAGATCATAGACCCAAAGAGGCTTTTGGTTTTCAGCCCACCGCACCTAACTTAGCGAGTTGGCATGTATGCCTTACGCCTTCAGCTCACTCACTCACACACCCCGGCACTAAGTCCAGCACGATAAGGCAGGTTGATGTCCTTGCATGACTAGGCTCATGCAACTTCCTAGGCCTAGAACCCAATGACTGGTCTAGTTTATTGGTCTGCGAAACATTTCCGTCCCGTCTACACCTTTACTGCTACAAAGTACACCTGTAGGAAAGTACTGTGTACAGTCCACTTTCCAGCTTTGCAGACGCATGCAGGCCTGAGTTTAGATCTGCCATTCCTTTGCTTTATTTTTTTTCTTTTTCTTTTACGTGATCTATGGATTATCGTCCCAGCACATACACCCCCTGCATTGGATACTGTATGCATACATGCCCTCCACTGAAATAGGAAAGGGAGAATATTGGGGTTTTGGGGACTGATTACTGTTGTGACTTACTCCTTCTTGGACTTGACTAGGAGTCTTGTCCGAAGTCTAAAGAACATATCCAGTGCCATGAACGCACCTATCGGACATAAATTAGCAGCCGCCCAACTCAGCTTACTTATGTCCAGATGCATGCAGTATCTTTACTTACCAAGAGCGACATAAGGCCCATATAGCATGCTGATGTTCTGCTTTTGGGCTACAGAGCGATCTGCCCAACTCCAGACCTCGACCAGACAGACTGTGGAGGTAAGGAAGGCCTGAAGACCAAAAATGAGGAGGTGGAGGGGGACAAGAGGGTCATCTGTCATGTATCCACCCCGTTAGCTCCAAGTTCCAGGTAGGGAGATACCGAGCGTTTATGATGTAACGGTAGGTATAGTTGTGGGTGATAATAGGTGTAGATCCGCACCTCTCTTCAGGCCGCCAAGTGCCCAGACGCTTACGGGCACATGGTATAACAGCTCCATAAGAATGAAGAAGTAAAACCAGGGGGCTGGTGGCTCCTCGAAGAACTTGTCATGGTACGTATCGATGTAGAACTGTCGGAGGGAGTGGGAAAGGTTGGATTGGAGGACAGTGGGGAGGATCGGGGCTGCGTCGACCACTAGGAAGATTGATTGATTGATAGCGAGTTAGTGGGTTTCGGGACTACGTAAACGAGTGTGTATATCAGTGGGAAGGGGGGGGGGGGGGGGGGGGGGGGGCAACTTTAGACCGACTTACGAAAAATGATGGGGACATGGATAGCAAAGAAGGAGAAGTAGATCAAGTCGCGTTTCCGGCTCCACAGGGAGGCGGGAGCAGTCGGAGAAGCCATTCTGGGTTTCGGGATTGCGTAAAGGAGAAGGTGTCTCCGGTTATCTAGAAACGTAGGGCGTAGGATGTACTAGATAGGTCGGGTCCCTTTCGTCCGGCCGGGAAGATTTGTTTGACAGCTAAGTGGTAAGCTAGTAGAGTCTAGCTGGAGGATGTGGAAGAAAAGGTTCTGATATGTGCGAAGAAGAAGAAGAGGAAAGAGCGAGAAAGCGGGTCAGCTGACCGTCACGGGTTCTCTGAGAAGAGGAAAACCACAAACGAAGCAAACGGAAAAAGCAACTACCATGAGAAAAGCAAATAAAGAAAGAAACCATCGAGAAAATAAAAAAAAAAAAAATCCCCGCCGTTCGCACCAGACCCGATCGGCTGGAAAAGACAGTCCGAGAACCTACCTAATACTCACTATTTTGGCAGAATGTTTGCTTTTTCCAAACTGCACGCGTCTTAGGAGTCCCCTAAACATAGCTTAAGCTTAGCCGTGTGGATCGCAGTCCAGCTATCGCTCAATCAACAATCATGGCTGCTCGGGTAAGGTGAGTTAAACCCACTGTCAACCATCAACCAGCCGTGGTGACCCAACGGTTTAACGAGCTCAAAAGTATGAAATATTGAAAAAAAAAAAAAAAAAAAAAAAAAAAAAAAAAAAAAAAAAACAACAAAATTGTTTCTTTCGCCCATCCACAGGCTTGCTTTTTTAGCAGAACTCATCGGCCTTGCATATGGTGTTGAATAATATATCGATATATTCTTCTTCGATCTTATCGTTGTGTGAGACATCCTAGTGCCATGTCCACCCCGGTAGCTGGTCCAGCTCCGCCCTCAAGCCATCAGTCATAGATTCATGGTGATCTCTCATTCCAGGGCGGCCCGATAAACTGGGCGTCTTCACCGCAATTCTCAAACCCTGCCTTCAGCTTACTCGTTGTGACCTCCGACTCCCGGCAAAGCTTGTGGTGCAAAAGTCCTCTACTGGAGCCCAGGATCCCTTAGTTGTGGCGCCTGCCCCTCCCCCTTCCCTTGGGGCTGATCTTTTGCCTCTGGGCTCCTGCTTGGCCCGGAATCGGCCTTGACTCAGTTTTACGCATCAAAACAAAAGTACTGCAAGGATTCGAGCAGCTGGTATCCGCCACCTGCACGCTGATCCCACCATGTCTCTCAATAATAGCATGCATTCTGCAGACAAAGCAACCTGATCCAGGAAATGTCCTCGAACGTCAAAATGTACCTGGGTCCCCTATCTCATGATTTGGCTCGGTCCTCTTAGAACATCGTTGTGTGGGCGGACGACGGGAAGCTTACGCTTAGCGCCACACTTTGCACCACCGTCCGTCAGTCCATTGTCGCATAGTGTTTCGCACAGAGTGGGCTAGTCTCCAACAGCCGGAAATGCGTCGCCCGACTCCCAGGGTAGACACTAGTCACTAAGTACGTACCTTGGAGGTCACAGCGACCCTTTCCCCGGAACTTGGGGCCAAATTTGACCGCCGGTGCTATCTAGTTGCTGTATCTCGCAAGAACACCCTGCGAATAGTCGCCAGCCTCAACCAGTAGTTGACTATCCTCATCCACCGTACCCACAGGCACCAAACTTGGGAATCCTTTGACAGTCCTTGTACCCCATGCACCAGTTGGGATAATATTTCGTAAGAGATAGCTCATGGACAACGAATCAGTGACGGGACACCTTCAACGGGCATCAATCGACAAAGTACATACTTCTTCCTAGGCTGTCTCGAATGGCAGCAGGAAGAGACTAACTTGGATAGGTAGTAGATATGATCAATGAAAGACAAAGCACTCCGGCCCTACGACGGAAACACGGATGACACGAAATGAAAATTTGGTCCCAATTGCAATTCGACCCCTCCAGACTCGGAAGCTCTGAGCTTGAAGGTTGCTCAAACGCGGACATGATGTGGCTTGAACAACTGGGCGGACACAGTCGTACATTATGATCAGACCAATTCTCCTGCATCCTTCCTTCGAGGCTTCTGTGGGCCTTCGACGCCATCTGGGAAATGTTCTAGATAGCCTGGATGACCTTCCGCGGCCCATCTCTACCGATTATGGAACATTAACGTGGCTCGGTGGAGAAACCCGATAGTCCACGGACATTGAACCGCATTCCCGAAATGAAAGCCAACGTCACAACTCGCGCGAGAGGCTCCGTTGGCTCTGCGCGCGAGAAGATCGGCCAGGCCTGTCTGTTCCACCCTGGTTCAAACTGGACTTGATGCGAAGGATGGATGGATACTGTGAGCAAGTTTTTCGCCCGTTGGGTGGAAGCCCAAACCGGGTCTATGTGTGACCCTTTTGGCTTACACGGGTGCTCACTCCTTCCGCAAGTGAGCTAAAAAAAAAATAATCTTAATCATTTCTGTTGAGAAGGAAAGTTTTGACACCAGTGTTGTTTGCTTCCCTGAAGAGGCAGCATGGATACGCAAAGGCGTCACTAAAACCGAGAGAGAGAGCGAACACATCAAATTTTCGGGGAAGCTACAGTGGGTATGCGCTGAGTCGATTTTGTGCCTCCTCGGCATTGTGGCCCCAAAATAAACTGGAGCCAGGAAGTCGGCACTATTTTTGTTCGATTGAGTTGACGCGATCGATCACCACCAGGATACTGCGAGAAAGAGAGCAGGCATTATCCCAAACAAAAATTGAACCGTGGAAGAAGAAAATGTTTGAAAAAGAAATAACGAAAAAAGAATAATTAATTAAAGGAAAAAAGAAAAAGGAAAAAGCAAACAATTCAACAACCGAAAGAAAGAAAAAAAATATAACATTTTCTCGTTCTTTGGAATAAACAGCAGTGGAACACAAATTACTCTAAACCCCTTCACAATGTTGTACTGAGTACGCATGCGCCCTCTTGACATGAGATAAACGGTTTCCACCAACCAAACATTAGCAGAGGGGCTGCAATATTCCTGGATTATTGGCAATGGCTACCTGTGGCAGAGCGCATACAGGCTACAGTAGTACAAAGCAGCCGCGGCCTCGAAGCCGGGAGTTTTACCATCGTCCTTCTGTCGAGCGATGCAAGGGCTAATGCAAGATAGCTACCGTAGCTGCTGCTGCTGCTGCTGCTGCTGCTGCTGAAAGTAATGGTACTCCTTCCCACTACTGCACAGGACAAATTCCGCGATCTAGTGCCGTCTACCCTAGAAGGAACAGACTCAAACTTAATGATATTGGCCCAACGTGCCGGCCGCATGGCTCCACCTCTGCCTTCTTTGCAGGCCCTCTGGCTGCTTATCGTTCATCCGGGTTCGCTAGATCAGAGCGGTGAAACCACACCAGAACCACATCGAATGGAACAATTTACAGTTGAGAGCCAGTCCCCCGGAACACGCCGGGTCCAGGGAGAAGACAGTGCCTTCCCATCGAAGTATCGGCAGGTCCAATCGCTATCGCTTCTGCGGTCGGTCAGGCTTAGCTCCGAGAAGACAATCGTCGTTGCCATGCCGGACAACCCTCTGCTGCTGTAAGCCCTTTGTCGTCCGATGCGGGAAGGAAGCTATACTCTTGGAGTGGGCGCGCCGATGCCCCATTCTTTATTATTCATTGGACCTTGACCGCTTCTCCCAATTCCGTCGTGCATCTCTTGCAAGTCTCGGTCCCTGTTCCGAACGGCCTGCCTCTTCCCTTTCTGGCCTCTTCGTCACTCTGTATGCTCTCTTCCCCTTCACCTTTTCCAGACACTGCTTGTGCCATGCTGGCTCCTGAGTGGTTCATTCCTTTGCCGCCGCCCCCTCACCCCCCTACGATGACCGCTGTTCTCATCTGTCGAGACCCGTCCGGCACCGACTTTGTACCCCTGTCGTCATGGCTTCGAGACGACCTTTTTTTGTGCCCGCCTTGAGTAGTAGTAGTAGTAGTAGCAGCAGTAGTAATCGGGCGTATCTACCAGCCCAAGCTTTCCCGGTCCGGAAAATTGAAAGGGATAATCCCTGGTCTAACTCTTCCTAAGCGAACCTCCGGTGGATGCATTGCCATTGGCGCTGCTGCGGCCATATCATCCACACTTGGCCGTGTTTACTGCTTGTGCAATCCCTTTATCGCCATATCGAGCCGGTGGAGGTTGTATCTGATCAGATATATATTCATCTCTCGTCCACCCTCGACTGAACTTTCTTCTCTTCCCCATCCATCTCCAGAGACTTCAATTGACCTTGATTTCTCGGAATCTATCCTTTTCCTTTTCCCTCCTAGCTCACTTTCATCTTTCTTGACGTCGACGTCCCGCTTAACCTCTTTGTGGCCTTGAGCAACACTACATTACGTACATACTTCCTTCGCACAAGAGCACACACCAGTCAACGCGCACATCCGCAATCATGCCGTCCTCTGCGCCTGTCCTACGGCCCAAGAAGGCCCTTCCCGTCAATGCCCATAAGGAGGAGGAGCCGATCAGCTACGACATCAATATCCCTTACGTAGATGTCACCAAGGAGTCTCACCTACGCACCAGATACCCCGAATACCTTCCCACGTGGGACAAAGTGTGGTTCGATCCTCTTCCTCCTTTTGAGTATCAGGACCCTGCCCTTCGCGTGAAGGATAAGTCCAAGCGCAATCTTCTGACACCCGGCACAAAAGTGACGGAGATCCAACCGCGCATTGGTAGCATCGTGGAAGGCGTTCAGCTCAACCAGCTCTCGGATGCCCAGAAAGATGAGCTTGCCCTTTTGGTTGCCGAACGCAAGGTGGTAGCTTTCCCGGACCAGGATCTCATTGACGATGGCCCTGAGGCACAAGAGGCTTTCATGCGTCACTTTGGCAAGCCCAATTATCAGCCCGTCTCTGGCTCAATGCGCGGGCATCCAGGTTTCCATATCATCCATCGCGATGGCAACCGCGAGGAAATCACTCGCTTCCTGTCGCAGCGCACTACTACGACGCTCTGGCACCAGGATGTCAGCTACGAGATCCAGCCCCCGGGCTATGTGATGCTTGGGCTGCTGGAGGGACCTGAAGTAGGTGGTGATACTGTTTTCTCAGCGACCGATATGGCATACAAGTAAGTATCATCCTCAAGCGCAACGAATCAGCGCCGGGCAGGTAGATTCTAATGCATGAATTAGGCGTCTTTCTCCAACTCTCACCTCCTGGTTGGACACGCTGCGCGCAACCCACTCATCGGCAAAAATGATCCAGCATGCACGTCTGACTGGGAGCCTGGTACGCAAAGAAGCCGTCGACACCGTCCACCCGCTTGTGCGCGTCCACCCAGTCACCGGCGAGAAATGTCTTTTTGTGAACGGCGAGTTCATCACCAAGATTCAAGGTCTGAAGGAGCCTGAGCAGCGCTGGTTGCTGGACTTCCTCATGCAGCATATCATCACTGGGCACGACTTTCAGGCGCGAGTGAGGTGGCAGCCTCGGACCATAGTGATTTTCGACAATCGCTGCACAACGCGTGAGTTCCTTGTTACCTACCAAAGATAAGCACCCAAAAGCAATACTGACGGATATTTGCAATAGATTCCGCCATTGTCGACTACCTCGATGATGATAACGGCGCCAAACTCCGTCACATCTTCCGTCTGTGCGCATTGGGCGAAAAGCCCATCCCTGTATACGACCAATTCGAGTAAATCCCGACGGCCTCCGCCACCTGTTCGAGGAGCTCTATCCTTGTTCTCAGCACCTCTTAGTTCTCACGGAAGGTCAAGGGTGCTCGACGCCACCGCGATGCCTTGCCAGCAAGAACGTTCCATGCAGCAGGCTCGGAAGATGTTTCCCCGGCTACCCCTCAGACTTTGGGATCCTTGGCGCGTCGCATGTGCCTGATCCTCCCTCCTCCTTCTCATCCTTTCCTCTTCCATCCATCCTCTTCCCGTTTTTCTGCCTGGATTTTTGCTTGGCTGCTTGATTTTGATTGATACCTCGGCCTGGTTCATTAGACTGTTTAATGTGGTTTTTTATTCCCGCTTTTAGTGACCTTAATTTGTGCCCTGTTTAGGCTTCTATGCTCTAGAACTAGTGGGGCCAAACTTGCTTTTTCTTTATTTCTCTTTGATCTAAAATTTTCGTGTCCGAAAGCAATGTTCTTTTATTCTCTGTTATTTGTTCTGAATTTGTTAGCCCGATAGACTTCACTTCTTTGCTTATCTACCAAAATTATTTATTATTATATTTACGCGTCAAAAATATCAAAATAATTTAATTATCAAAATAAAAACAATCTTACGACTAATGAACGCGTAGTTAATAGGTAGTTGAACCAAAACTTAGAAGGTTAGTACAATATGATGTTCGGATGTACCCTGTACACCACTTCACACACATTATATATTACTATTGTATGCAGCCTCATTGAACACACTCACCCCCACCAAACACCAACACCCGGGAAGCGGGGACCAAACACTTTACACAGTAGCAGTAGTAGTAGTAGTAGTAAGTAGCCACTAGTATCTACTCAGCTCTTCAGAATTGTACTACCAGAATGCTGCATCTACTATTGGTGTATTATTATTAGGAGTACTAGGAATTAAACATGTTAAGGTATCAGTGAAGCATCAAAAAATGAAAAAAATTGGGCTCGAGTCAGGAAACTACTAAAGGAACAACCGCCGATCAGTAATTTAGTACCGTGACTAGTAGAAGCAGTAAACTGTCTTCATGTTCGTACTAGTACTTAAGTTACTAGTGTTCATCGGCGAAATCTAAGTTAGGAAAATGGTCGTGCTAGTACGACTACTACTACTACTACTACTAGTGGTGATACTAAATAAATACCTCGAAATGGGCAGATGAATTAAAGTCGGTTATATATATATATATATATATATTTGGTAAATAAGTAATTTACTAGTAGTAGTACGGTTGTTCCACACCATAATGAAGATGCAGGTAAATAAAAGTCATGATCATCATCTTACATTGATTACATTGATTAATACCCAGTTATAGGACAAGTAGTACACCTTTAATCATATCCAAAAAATGGACAGCAAAGAGGGTAAAAGGAAGGAAGATGGCTTTGAAAATGATATAATATATGATGGAATTATCTTGGCACTTCACTTTACTTCCGTTCACTTCTCTTCACTTGATTCGACGCGACATGACTCTCTGGATGCTGCATGCATGCAAGTAATTGAAAATAATAAAGAAAATAAAAAGAAAGATAATACATGAAACTCCAGCGCCCAGGACTAGAACAGAACAGAACAATAAATAATCGAAGTGGGTTTGGGTTGCATTGCTATACGTGAAGGAGGGGGGCGGGGAAGCGATGAAATTGGGGAACCAGTGGGACGGTTAAATCACCGCAGAATATCATCGATTCTCGTCCTCAATTCTTGTGCCAGCTGGACTTGTTCCGGAGTGATACCACCCTGCTGGAGGAGAAGGAGGGTTTCAAGGATGCGCTCAGCGACGAGGTCGCTTCCGAAGACGACGCCGCCGAGACGGACCGTGTCGTGAAACCAGTGCTCAATCAGGTAGAGAAGATCCTTGGCGATGTACTTCTTGTTGGAACCTTGGAAGGGAGCTTCATCGGTGTAGTACATGGATTCGAGGACTGCGTAGAGAGTCTCGTGGGCGACGCCAAGATCGAGGAAGAGATCAATGACCCATGTTGCAGGACCGACACCACGCTGGTGTTCGAGGGCGTAGCGCTCGAGCATGGGTAGGAGAATGGGGATCGGGAACACAGACTCGGACATGCGCAGACGGCTGCCCAAACTGCGGACCTTGTCGATTACAGCCTCGTAAGGGATGGGCTCACCCCGTTCAAGGACCTCATCATGCAGGTCTTGAAGGAGGTGTTGCCAGGTCGATCGGATATCGGCTGGGTTACGGTGGTCGGCCAGGAAAAATATCTGGAGACAGATGTCATAGTAGCTTGCAGGGTCGGCGTATTGGTTGAAGAGCTGCAGGAAAATGTTAGCCAAGAAGAAAAGAGAAAAGTAAATGACTAGGTGAGGTTGGGCTGATGACGTACAGTGCTAATGTCCTTGATGGGTCCGTCTACATCCTTGAGAACTTCCGCCCGGCGTTCCGGCGCAAGACGTCTGTCGTCCTTTAGGCGTTGCAGGAGATCGTCCTGGATGTTCGCAATGTCAATAAGGTTGGAAGTTTCCTGCACCAGTCGCTGTCGGGCTTGTCGGCTAGTGTCGGGCGTGAATGTGGAGGCGTTGGCCCTGGCTCGGCCCAAGTACTCAATGCGACGGCTGAGAGGAAGGGTGAACGCGCTCTGAGCCAGATCCAGTTGTACCTTGGCTGCCTCAAAGAACCGTTGTGACTGAGCAAAGTACCGCCAAAGCAGATCCGCGTGAGCAAGGTCGTCTGCTGATTTGCGCTCAAGGTAGGTCACAACGAAGGGCGAGTTGGTTTGCAGCAGTCGATCGCTCCAGCCTTGCTCCAGATACCAATCGTACAAACTCGTCAAAAATACTTCATCCGTCGAGTCGGAAACGACACCATAAGCCTCATTTTTGCGCTTGGCGATTATCGTCAATTGTCCATCAACAACGCCGGGATCGTGAGCGGCGAGGCTGTCAACGGCGAGGATAACCTTGAAGATCAGGTCATAACATTGCTTGCGGTAGTAAAAGTAGTCCTTGCGGGTGTCCTATGAGACAAAAGATGTTAAGACTTGGCTAGATTGTAGAATCAGGACGATCGAGTGACCTACCTCCTCAGGTCGCCCATCGACGATCCATGAAAGTGCCATGTTGGCCTTGTCTGAGCGAGCAGCAACATTCAGAGCAAGCTGAATCGCACCTATAGATTCTCATCAGTAAAGTTACATGAAATGGGCCTGGTTGACAAATACCGGCAAAGAACTGGTTAGAAATGTAGCTTTCCACCGCAGAGATCAGGTAATCCATCGGCAAGTTGTCAGAGACCTGCTGGAACAAATGAAGGCTTTCATTGAGCAAATTGCGACCAAGTTCGGAGTTGTAACCGGCTTCGGTAGCTCTCTTCAGAAGCTCCTGGGCCTTGAAGATCACTACATCTTCGGCGCTGCAGAAGCTGCCACAACGGCGTCGGAGAGCGTCGGCCACAGTTTCCACATTAGAACCCTTTGCAATGTTGCGGTTGACGATTCCCTTCACGAGCTCCTTGGCCATGTCATGACCCTTGTTGGTACTGAAGAGCTCCTCAAAGGTAAGCTTCAGGAAGCGCTCCTTCGATTCGGCCGGCAGAGACGCCACAATTTCATCCACTCGCTCGTCGAAAAGAACCAGGACAAACGAGATACCCTCGATCGTGTGGGATACAAGTTGGACCAGAGAATGGAGGGCGCGGTGCTCCGCCTGCAGGGCAGTTTCCTCCTGCTTTGTGGACACCCGCGTCAAAGCTTCGGGGCCGCTCAATCCTTCGATGAAGCTCTTGTTCGATTTGAAAAATTCCTGCAGAGCCAGAAGATCCCTCTGCACCGCCTGCAATTTGGAAGCAGAAACGGAAGATGCGACCGTCTGAGCACCGTTGGGGGCAATGCCGGCCTTCGCAATCTCCTTCTTCCAGATCGACCGCAACAGCCTAGAAATGTAGAGAGCAATGCCTGCATGACGCGGGGACGGAACGACTGCGTCAATAGCGAGCGTGGTGCTATCGGCGACGGCATTCTCATTCATCGTCGGTCGGCCACCGTACTCGATGAAGACCTTGCGTGCGAACTCCAGGACATCGGGGTCATTGATTTGCGTTAGTCGTGAATCAGAGGAGATCTCAACACCCTGACCGCAAGCGACTGCAAGAGCGGTGGCAAGCGTTTCGCTCCGGCCATAGGTGCGAATGAAGTTCTTGACTTCGCCCTCCAATCCCTCGTCGCCGGTACCACCACTACGCACCAACGCCGCGAAGACATCAACAAGACGCCTTCTCCGAATAACGTGGATGCCAGTGTTGGTCAGAATGGCGATCTCAGCCGCCGGATTATCAAACTGCACGGCCAGTTCATTTCCGAATCCTCCAGGAGTGCTCGTGGCTGGGGTAGTAGGAGAGCAGAGACCCACGTCTTCAGCCCTGCTGCCCAAAGAGAGCCAGACAGCAGTTTCACCAGCCTTTCCAGGAATAACGCTCTCCTGAGAACGAGCAACGCGCCCCGAATCCGGAGCCGAAATGAAGAGTGTGTCCGACTTGTTCGTGGAGTCCTTACATGTGAAGCAGAGGAAATAACCTGGAGGGTATCGAACAGTGAATCTGGTAGGCTGCAGGGTGTTGATCGGCACTCTGGCCGTAATTGTGGTTTGAAAACGCGGTTGGTTTTGAAGGCTCGGAGGGAGTTGAGCAGCGGAAGCACCGTCATACGGCGGCGTCTTGACATGATGGGCCTGCATACTTGTAGGTGCGTTGGTGCCGTTCGGTGCAGAAGACCAGGTGAAGGAGCCGGTGGCGCTGAGATAAATGCGATAGCCTGTTGCAGTTGTGGCCATCAGATGGTACCTAGAGGCCTCGGCGGCTGGGATGGGACTGATGGAAACAATGGGAACTTTGGGGTTAAGGGTTTCATTAGACGCAATAATGTGTCCGATATTGGCATAGATATCGAGGGCTGGCTTCGTGATCACCAAAGCAAGGCTGCCATCTGGCTTCATGTGGAAGACGCGAATGGTGGAGGAAGATGATAGCGTGTACAGTAGCTTTCTTGTGTCGTCGATTTCCATCTGC